AGTGAAAATTGGTATACAAGGGTTTTTTGGTACGACAAAACGAACCGTGTGCATAGTTTTACTGTAGCCGCTAGAGGGCGCTCTCTACTGTACCTGTAGTGTATTAAAATGACCGAAAATTTTTTCTTAGTGCAATTTTTTGCTTTTTGAATAATAAAACTGATTCTTCGCACTTTTCAACATGAAAAAGCTCTCTTGTGAATTTTCGTGATAGTTAGCCGTTTTTGAGATATTTCGATTTTTAAGGTTCGATGCATTTTTAATTATTTATGAAAAATTATATTTTTTTTACATTTTCGATTTGGGCATTACAATTAATTAAGATGATCGTTTAGATTGTGTTTTTAAACACAGCAATAATTCCTAACTCCAAATAAACACAAAAAACAGAATATTAATTTGTTTAATTTTCCAATATTATTTTTAACAAATTAAATTAATTATTTACAACTAAAATGCTATTGGATAGTTAGGACAAACATACAAAATCTGAAGTAGTTGCTCGAAATGTAAACCCAATTGTTCAATACACAATTCACATCTACGAATGATCGAACGTGGTATAGCATTATTCAAATAAGGCCTTATTTTCATGCGACCAAATATGTTGATTATGAAAATTTACCACTCCACGTCTAGTGAAGCATGACTCATCGGTCCATAAAACGTTACTTAAAAACTCCCTATTAGTACCAGTTCTATCAAGAATCCACTGACAAAATGTGATTCTTCGTTCTCCGTCCCCTGGCTGTAGTCCTTGCACAGGTTGCAAATGGTAAGGACGTCTATGGTCATTTCTAAAAACACGGTGAACATGGCTTGCTGAAATTCCCAAGGCACCAGAAACTCTCCTAGCACTTGTGGTCGGATCCCTATCAAAGTCACGAAAAATCATACGGGTAAATCTGCGCTGACGAACATTTATGCTTTGATCCCTCTGGGGATTTCCAAAACCATTTTCAATTATTTGGCGATGCACTCTTACAAATACTGAGCGAGTTGGATGTCGTCTGTTTGGAAATCTTCGTGCGTATTCTCTGGCTGCTTCTGCTGCGTTTCCATTTACAAAGCCATACACAAAATGAATATCCGCTAACTCTTGATTGGAGAATAAAAATGGAATTTTTATAAAACTTACACAAAAACAGGTAAAAGAATCTAAATTTCGTGCATTCACAATTGCAAAAAAACGTTTAGGTTTCAATAGACAACAAAACTAACTGTCAACTAATTTACGTTTAACTTTATGCCGCTTTCAATTTCAAAAAGATTTGCAGGCACAGCCGACTTCTAAAAAACGGCTAACTATAACGAAAATTCAAAAGAGAGCTTTTTTATGTTGAAAAGTGCGAAGAATCAGTTTTTTATTCAAAAAGCAAAAAATTGCACTAAGAAAATTTTTTCGCTCATTTTAATACACTGCAGGTACAGTAGAGAGCGTCCTCTAGCAGCTACAGTAAAACTATGCACATGGTTCGTTTTGTCGTACCAAAAAACCCTTGTATACCAATTTTCACTGTTATACATCAAATATTGTTCGAAATATTTAAAAAAAACTATTTTAGAAAGTAAATTTAAACACCCTGTATTTCGGAAGCCACGCATTTTTCGACCCATGTTTATATAGACTTTATGCATTCATTTTAAAAGTTCTATCGAATCTTAAAGTTATGCAACAATAAACTGAAACACCCTGTATAAGTAGAGATAGTTTATTCTCCATATTTCTTTCTGGATTCCAATTCTTGAGCGCATAATCATAAAAAGCAACATCCCCGTATTTCAATTGTTCACAATTGCTATATCTTCGTTTTTAATCTATTAAGCAGCTACATATCAAAAATACGTGACACGGGAAATGATCAGACTCCAAGAAATTATTTGTTATAGTAACAGTAGGTACATAGCAAATACAAGAAAACAACATTAACCTCAAAGGTAACATCAGGAGGGCTAGAAACTGCATGAAGAATTTTATTCGCAAATCTTTTTCTTTTGGTGATGTTGCCTTCATAGAAGTTTGACTACAAATTTGCTAATTTGCCCCCAGTCTTGATCGATTCCTAAAAGTGAATGTGGCCCGGTCCAATTTTTTACATTCTTGAGCCAACATTTGAAATATGTAGTTAGTAAAGTTACTGTTTAGTTAAAGGTGCATTTTTGAACTGAACGTTCTCGAATTTAATACCTTTTTGGTAAGTTAAATAAGCATGCAAGTTTTCTAATATATGCCCATTCCTTTTTTAGATAGATTGATTATCGTATTCCACGATGGAAAACGTTAGACATAACTTTGTTCCAAGGAAAACTGAAAACGAAAGTTCTTAGTTTGCTGAACAGCAGTTCTTTTATTTTGTGTGACATGTTTACACTTTTTATAATTCATGTACCTAAGTACAAACTACGACAATCAATTAATAAATCAACCAGGATTTCTTACTCAGTTTTTTTACTATTCAGATTCAGTTTCGGTTGATCACAAAATCTGAAAAATTGAAAAATCTCGAAAGCTATGGTTTTTCGCTCATACTTATCTATATAGGATGAAATTTGTTGAATACTGCGAATTACCATTAACCTTGTATAACAGGTTTTTGACTACAAAAACGTCAAAAACCCATCAAAATTACCCATTGCACTTTGTCGGTTTTCTAAAAGAAAAATGAGTTGTGGAACTGTAATTTTTTCACCATAAATCCATTATTTCAAAAGAATTATATGAACCGCTCCTCTTCAATAAGCTTTTTCATTTTCCGTTTGCTTATCACTATCGATTATACCTCGGCAATATAAAAGGGCATCTAGTAAATGCTCAGTCCAGCTTGCTGCGCGATTTGCTTAATAGCAGTATCAACGGGAAACAGCTCCGTCAGTTTAACAGCAGTCTTCACTTGATTGTTAAATTTGACTGCTGAGTAAATGTTGCAAATTGTCAAAGCTATTCCAGAGCTACAGCTTTTCAGCATGCATGGAGGATGATTGCATGTCTTTTTGATAGAGCTGGATGTATGAAACCAATTCCTGTAGTTTGACTTTTAACCGCCAAAAACTGTGTAAAGAACGATACACACGTCTATTTACACGTTCAAGCAGCGGCATGTTTCCCTGCCCACTAGGGATGGGGATGGGCAAAAATAACCGGTTAATTGAATAATCATTTTTTTTAAATTGATCAACCGGTTTTTACCGGGTATTTCATAATGCAGCGTTAAGCGGTTATCGCTTAACAAAAAGCAATAACCGGAAGAAAGGTTTTTCTTTTCCTATCTACACACATCTTAGTAAAAGTTTCCGTAGTGAATATTAGTGCTGTGTTGATTTTGTCTTCTTTGACCACTTCCCAACGCTTCGCCCCATATGCGGCATAACCGCTTTGGGATAGCTCTAGGTTCTATACCCTATTCGTAGCCCATTTACGCCCCGGCACAGCAAAGATGCAGCGCGGCAAAGCGGCAGCCGCCTAATAAGCGTTGCAATAGCTATTGGTCATTCGGCAATAAAAGTACGAACAAATGCAGGATTCGACAGGATAGTACTCGGGCTCGAGCGCTAGAGGTATGGCCGGCAGTAGCTGTTCATGTTCGGTGCATACATAGTGTGTGATTATACGTTAGCATGTCGTCTACGGATACAGCAGATGAAACTGAGAATATTTCTCTCAATGCTTCCTTCAGCCATGCTTCCTCTTCAGTGATGTCTCCTCCCCGAAAACGTGACAAGAAGGGACATTTGAATATTTAACAATTTCCAACATTGTTAAAGAATATAAAAAAAAACAAAAAATTGTCTCCAGCACACAAGAGGCTGCATGTTGGATACGGTTGATAACTTTGATCGGAATGCCATCAGACGTAAAGTTCATGAACTTTTTGAAAGGCAGGAACTTCCCACCATAGATAAAGTATTACAGGAGGTTAATAGTGATGAAGACTTACCTACTTTCAAAAGGACCACATTCTATAGTTTACTCAAACAACTTCATTTTGAGTGTAGAAGACGGGGCAGAAATAATATTTTGATGGACAGCCAATAGTTTACTTTATGGAGAAGACATACAGAAATTCAATAATGGCTCCTATCAAAAGACATTAGTTTCAATGAAAATATCGTCAAAGCAGAACTTATCCATCTAGTCAGACAGCACAAATATACTGTACCTAAATATAATCTTAATGTTATTGACGAAATGGCTAAAAACCAAAATAAGTCCGTTTTAAGGCTACCACCTTATCACTGAAAATCAAATCGCATTGAAATGATTTGGACAAATATAAAAACCTATGTGGTTTAAAACAATAGAACATTCAAATTTTCTGACGTGAAAAATATGTTTTATGAAGCTGCCAACAGAGTGACGGCAAATCTATAGAGATTTTTTCGCGAGATTCCGTAGTGAACCGGAGCGGGAAGAGATGGAATTTTCCCTTCCTCTCGAAGTATTGACAGTTTCAAGTTACACCGGGAGTGATTAGATGGCGCATGCTGCGCAAAATGTTTGCTTTAAGCTCCTTGATAAACTTAGCTACCTTGTTTGAATCTGAAATAAAAAGACCGATCGTTTTTTGTGCAATGTACATATACGTATATATCAATAAAATCAATCATTTGATATCACAAGTGCGGTTCATATATCTTTGATAACCAGCTCCCTCGTCATTTAAAATCAGGTGGACGTGTTCCTCCATTTATGATTTAATAATTTAACTCAATTTTCGGCACTGCGAAGACAAATTTTCAATTGAGATGCCTGTTTTTTAAACGAAATTGACATAAGACCTGTCACCCGCTAGTACCTCACAGACGTTAGGCGGGCACCAGTACCACGTGATTTTTTGACATTCGGACGACGTCACATCCGTCTTCCCCTATTCCCGTTCTTCGCGAAAATTTTAGTATGGGTTCGGTTCCCGGTTGTGCACTGTGCCACACCGTGGACTCGCGGAAAAATCCTTATTAGAAATAATAATAATAATTAAAATTAACCATTCGGACGATGATTCAAGTACTTCCAGCGAATAAAGTATTGCGAAAAGTATATGTGCACTTCTTTCTAAAATAATAATTTTTTGTTAGATTATTCAAAACCATTGAGGAAAATACAGACCTGCAAAATCTCGCTTTTGGGCATGTTGTGTTTTGTCTGGACGTAATTGGACTACGAATGGGGTTTAATAGATGTTCTGCAGTCACAAAACGGCTTTTAATGCCACGGCTTATGCCAACTTCACGTTTCCCCGATTGGCATTTATTATTCTAACTTGAATTTGATTTATGAAGCAAGTTTAAAAGTCGTAAGTCTGTACATAAATGGGCCTCTCTGCACGTGTACACCTCTTTTCCGACGCTAATGTTATTTAGGAAGGGAATGAGGCATGAAAACCATCTTTTTTCTATGACTAGAGCTGGGCTTTTTTTATATTTGGATTATATCACCTTTAAAATATTTGTCGTATTATATTTATGTTATAGGACTGGAATATGCACTTTAGAGCTTAATTACATAAATGCATGAATTTCCACTTTGTTCCATTGTAAGCCCTGCGATTAAATAATGGAAGTATTTTTTAATTCGACGTACTGACGTTTTATGTCACTTCCGTATTATGTCAACATTTAGCGCGATTTTAGTTGTCAGTATATATAATTATTGTTTTGTGGTTGTCATGTTGTCAACATATATTTATTTTGATCGTTTTTATGCTTGTAGTTTTTTATTTGTATTTTCTTGATATATTCAATTAATATATTTGATAAAGAAAAATGCCGATGGTACATGAGCCTTTGAGGTATGCTCACGATGAGGGGCACACAGATATTTGTTTTACTGAAGATGGAAGGTAATTTGAGTCGGCATTTATACCAAGTTTCTTAATAAGACCAATCATAATTTTTTTAGCAAATTCATAACATGCGGGGCTGATGGAGATATCAGAATATGGTCTTCGGACGATAGCGAAGACCCTGTACATAATTGCGTAGGTGAACTTGCATGGGCTGTAGGTCAGAAAGGCGAACATGTGTTTGTAGCAACAGGAAGCAATGACATCCAGATCATCAAGATTGTAGATGGCGAGAGAGATGGTGTAATGGGTCGTTATACTGCTCCAATTAATCACATTGCAGTAGCAAAGAATAGTTTCCTCATTGCTCTAGCTGGCGAAGATATGGAAGTAAAGTTGGTAGATGCTGGGAACACATCAAGAGATGTAACTGTTTTTGATGGTCTTGAAGGTCCTTGTCTGAGTGTGGCAATTTGTCCGAGATCAAAATTTCTAGCAGCATCTTCAGGTGATACCAAAATGAGGGTCTGGAACATAGAGACCAAGGCTATTGTGAAGGAAATAAGCTGTTCCCCTAAAGCAAATAGCTTTGAAAATGCTAAGACTTTGTGTAGGTATTTTGATACAAATAATTCTCATGCACTTCAAGGTTTTTTTTATCAATAATTTACTCAGTGTCTTGTCAGCAGCATAAGTTGGTTTTGTTATTCTGAATCTTTGTAACTTGTTAGGTTCTCCAGAAGTCCTATCTATTCCAGTATACATGGCTATATAAAAGACTAGCTATTACCCATGACTTTGTATACTTACAATTGTTAAAGTAGCTAAACTTTTGAAATAAGCACAATGATTAAACCAAGTCACACATTGTAAAAAATACCCTCCAGCCTAGTCTCTAGTTAGAAAAGGTAAATCTATATAAAATTGTGGGGGCCCATAAACCCCATTTTTGCCCATGTAAAAAAGTCCATTCTCAGTTTAAGTTTCCTGAAATTAACAATTTTCCTTCCTGCGAAATTTTGTATTGATAGACCAAGTAGCCATTAATTCATGGTTTGGATGTAAAACAGGAAAACCGACTTTCTTCTGGTATTTCTCCTACGCACCTTAAAGGTACTTAAAGGTATTGAAGCATGCAAAACAAAAAAATGGGCCATGTTAGTGAATCTGAACCACTAACACTATTTACTGCTAAAACAGCATTACTTTGTAATAGTTATTTGAAATTTCAATCTTGTCTAAAAGACTACATTAAGCCCAAAAATACCTCATAACAGTTTTTGTTGTCTCTTAAATATTCAATATATGGGACTTAAGGTTTTTGCACTGACTGATTCAATTATAATTATTGTAGGTATAGTAGGGATTAGTAGGGATATGAGCTCATTAGAGGGAAACACTTTGCAAAGTTTGCATTTCAATCACAACTGAATTATTTTTCGAGTTTTAAACAAGAAATTTGAAATTGCAACAGAGAGGTTTAACGCAGATGATCAGTTTTCGAGAGTAAAAGGAATTTTGTGGAATAATATTGAAAATATATCTCCAAGTTTCCTGGTCATTAATTGAAACTGCAGCTCTTTTCAAAGTGATTTACCCGCATGATAAGTTTTAGATGCCACGGATTATTCAATTTCTTGTAATTTTCCTCTTAGATTTTATCAGAGATAAAAAGTGAACACCAATTAAAGACCTTTTTCCAAGGTTGTGCATCATATTTTTTCTCAGGCTGTTATAAAGATTGAATGAATGAAACACGAAATTAGAGGGATACCAGCCACCATAAGAAGCCTGCGCATAGGCCACTCTGACGGATCCTTGTGCACCTCCACATTTCTTAGACCTCAAGCCTCGCCATTCTAGCGAAGTTGAGTATGGCCTTGAGTCCAAGCTCCTTAAGGTCCTGGGGGTCCAAGCCTGTACTAGTTAAGAGCCTCACAGCGACACAGAACGTGCGCCGAGGTCTCTTCTTCTACCTTTTAAAGATTACTACTTCGACAAATGCCTGCGTACCATTTCAAATTTATAAACCTAGATTATACAGTATTTGCAAGAAAATCTGTGAAAAGTCTGCGAAAATCAAAAGTTCGCCAATTTTGGCCGAAAAACAAGGTTGAAATCGCTGTGAAATAAACAAATCTTAAAATAGTCCTCAGGTGCTTGTAAAACAACTTTAATTTAGATAATAATTTTTTAAACAGTGAATATACCCGCATGGCAACCCAGATCAAATATATTTAACAATTTTTTTTAAATAAATTACAATTTTTTTTCAGGTGTTGTGAATTATTCCGAACAAAAAGGCTTTCATTAACTTTTGTTTAAAGCTGACCATTTTCGAGTTATAATCGATTTAATGTCTGAAAGGTACTGCCATAAAAATGAGTATATTCAATGCTTAAAAACTCACTTTGAAATTATAACTTTTATGATGCATAGTATCTAAATTAATGCTAGAACCATGCGTCACATAAGATTATTTTATTTTAATGAGTGCAAACTTGATGTTGCACTATTATTTCCCAGTAGCATAGTTCTGATGAATATATGTTTCAAAGTTACTGAATAAATCCATCAAAACTACTTTACTGGAAATGAGTGATTTGCTACCTCGTTAGCACCCCTTTTTTACTTTTTGGATTACCACTTCTATGTATGGAACTTTGCTATATTGTGTTGCAAACTTTGGACCATTAGAGGTCAGAACTTATTGAAAAATTGAGGATTTTGCATTTTGATTATCATGACAATGGTGGGGTAGTCTTAATATTCAGTTTCAGTTTTATTGATTTCTGACCTCATTTTAACAGCTATCAAAAAACATTTTTTTCATTTTAGCTATTACCATACTCCTCAAATTGAACAATAAATAAATGTTGAGGCATTTGTGATTTAATGACTTATGTTTTAGAAATATTTGAAGCTCTGTACGTAATAAGTTTTTGCTGAATTCTGACCAACATAAGCATAAATATACCATTATTATATTTATTGGAATTTAACATGACGTGTCCCCAATGTTGAAGCGTTATATCAAAATGTATCTTAAAATCTGTTAAAATGAACTTCAGACAGGAATAAAATTCTCATTTTTTTTCCCAATAACTATAGTTGGAAAATATAGAATTGTATTTTTCCATGTAAAACGTATTTAAAGAAAAATATCCTAATTAAACCAATATTGTTTGGTGATTTGATAGTTTCACCAGATCCTAATGTAAAATTAAAAAAAGTAATAATTTTCAATACTCCAATATACATTCATCTATAGGTGTTGATGTTTGCTTTAAATAGGTCGAATGGATTTTGAGCCTTCTGAAGGGAAAATGCTGGTATACCCTATTAAGAACACATTAGTGGTATTGAATGTGGAATCATGGTCTGAGGTAACAACATTGATCTGTCAAGAAGTAGATGCCTCATACTCAATAGTTAAATATTCGCCTTGTGGCAGATATATTATGGGTGCTACAGATAAAGGAGACTTTGTCTTATGGGACACTATCACAGAAAATTTAGTGAATGTTAGTAAACATGAAAAAAATGTTGCTGTTTGTGGACTGGCTTGGAATCCTAAAGGTAAAATGTTTTTTTTTATTTTAATTATCCAGTGTGATTCAAGAAACGGTAGGAATATTTTTAAGGGAAAGGGTAGATTCAAAAAGTTCCTATAAATATCTTCTCTAGCAAGATACAGCATGTTCTAGATTCATTCGCCACTGATGAGATCCATTAAGGACGAAACGTGAATATTCTTCAACTAATAATGTGGTGAGGTGTGATTAATCCCTTAACTACATACAATTTTTAATGTAAAGTAGCTTTATCGCCGTCTATGTATAATATATATTATAATGAACACTATATGCCGCCCACAGACCTGTTATTTATTAGTTTATTTCCCTTATAAATTCTACTTTAAAGCTACTCTAAATGCTGGTTCTTTACTTTTGCATTAGCATTAATGTCCAAGTTATGTCTTCTCATGTTTAATAATTTTTAATTTGTTCGGGTGCATTGATATTTTTAACATGTAACGAAGGTATCTGTCGTTATCAACAAGCCCAATATCTCCGTCCTTTTGTTTTTATATTTATAACAAGTTCTATCTTCTCTACGTTCGTTTTGAAACACCTTGTGGCTGCAACCTCAACGACGAAATCCTGATGAAGGCTCCATAGAGAATGCCGAAAGCTTGATTTTATCATCAAAAGAGTCAACTTAAGCCTAAAAATTAATTGTATTTTGTACCCAACTGGTCGTTGGCTTTGGCAATGACTACTGCTCATATATATATATATATATATATATATATATATATATATATATATATAGGTGAACAATTAAAGCTTCCGCCTTTTGTTGGGTACTTCGACAAAAATTTAAGCAAAGAGGACTCTTTATATTATTTTTATTCTCTCTAGCTTTCAATGGACTTTGCCATCATCATCAGGAGAGTAGTATGTGAGGATGTTGCTAATTGTTGTTTACGTTCAGGATGAGGGAAACACCCAGTAACATGGTGAAAGCTGGATAAATGGTACAATGATCAAAATTATATAAAATACACACAACTGTGTGACAAGAACAAGTTAAAAACAGATTAAAAATTTTTAGAACATGAAAGCATTACATCGTGAAGCCACTTGATGATTGCACAAAATGGTGGGCATAGAATCATGAGTAAGATGAACCTTTTGACAGATGGCCGAAGGTTAGCAGTGTCCGTGTAGAATGATGCCCACCATTTTGTGCAATCATCAAGTGGCTTCACGATGTAATGGTTTCATGTTCTAAAAATTTTTAATCTGTTTTTAACTTGTTATTGTCACACAGTTGTGTGTATTTTATATAATTTTGACCATTGTACCATTTATCCAGCTTTCACCATGTTACTGGGTGTTTCCCTCATCCTGAACGTAAACAATAATTAGCAACATCCTCACATACTACTCTCCTGATGATGATGGCCAAGTCCATTGAAAGCTAGAGAGAATAAAAATAGTATAAAGAGTCCTCTTTGCTTAAGTGTCCGGATGCCATTTGACCAAAGCATGTTCAGTGACATATTATGATTGTGTGAGTTCGAAAAACAAAAAATTAGGAGGTTGACTGACACCGAAATTAGATTTTCAATATGCATTTTAGTGCTAGAGTGTATAGCCTAGGTGGCGGTGAGCTAGGACGGAGTATATTCATGACTGTACTATCAGCGGCTAAGATGGCATTCACAAACACTGACAACCACGTAGTTCTCTGTAGTTTTATTGATATGTCAATGTGGTATTTATATACTCTTTGCGTGTACCGAATTATTTATAAGAAACATGATAGATTTCGTGTTAGAAAGGCGCCGCAATCTGAGTTTCTTTCGCTCTAGCAAGTTGGAATCAGATTTAAAGAAAAGGTTTGATACGTGAATTGACGTTAAACCAACTCGTATGACTTTTGACCTCGTAAAATAAGATGCTCGAAAAAATCTATACTACAGGGTCGGCCATAAGAGTGTTGGCGATTTAAATCTTAAGCTGTTAGCCGCGCCGTTGCCTGAAAATTTAGTCGCCATGGAGCCGTACTCGGGAGCGCAGCGTGCATTTTGTGTCCGAGCGTATTATGAAAACAATAAATCTTTTATACTGCACGACGTTTGTATCGGCATGAACACGGTTTACGCGATTTAAGAGAAGTTCGACAGTAGCAATAACAGCTCGTGGTCGTCCAGTTTCTGCAAGATCAGCCGGCAATGTAGAGCGTGTTCGTGTTTCAGTTCAGCGAAATCCGCAACAGTCAACACGTAAGAGAAGTCAGGCTTTGGGCATCAAAAGAACGAGCTTGCGGCGAATTTTGAAGCGTGATTTGCATTTGAATGCTTATAAGATTCAACCAGTCCAAAAATTAAAACCAGATGATGCCAATAACCGACTTAACTTTGTCAATTTGATGCTCGACCGATTCAACAGTTTTAACAACGTGATGTTTAGTGATGAGACCAACCTTCACCTCAATAGCCAAGTTAACAAACAAAATTGTCGGTTCTGGTCCGAAACTAATCCCTGACGCTTGCATGAATGTCCACTTCACAGCCCTAAACTAGTCGTATGGGCTGGAATTACGTCAACCGGTATTATTGGACCGTACTTTTTTGAGGACGAAAGGGGGCAAGCTGGGGCAGTTAAAGCTAACAATTATTGTAATATGATAACATACTTTTTGGTGCCAGCTTTGCAAGAACTCCAAGCCAATACCTCTAGAATGTGGTTTCAACAAGATGGGGCCACATGTCATACAGCTAGGGTATCTATAGAGCTGCTGAAAAATGTCTTTCCCGGAAAACTCATTTCGAAAAAGGGGGATATTGAATGGCCACCTCATAGCCCCGATCTGTCTCCATGCGATTATTTCCTATGGGACTACCTCAAATCGGTGGTCTACAAGAATAATCCAACCAATTTCGAGCAGCTGAAGAGGAATATTGTTCAGGAAAGTAACGAAATACCGAGAACAACTTTTCAACGAGTTTTCCAAAATCTGCAGCTTCGGTTTCAAGAGTGCCAAGCAGCCGAAGGAAGTCATTTGAACAACATTATTTTTAAATCTTAAAAATTCCTATTCTGATTTTTAAGAAATACATTTATTTTTATTTTATATGGCGTAGTTATTTTTTAATTGAATATTGAAATTGCCAACACCTTTATGGCCCACCCTGTATATTCTATTTCACGAACCGAAGCTGTGAGTATCCTTTTTTATAAGGAGGGTTGGGGGCATGGGCAGACCTAACGCCGTGTTCTAGGTAGGTACGTTTGCGTGCAGTGCGGATATTGTGTTGCCCGCACGCATCGTCGGTGTTTGCGGTGAACGCGGAGGTGGCCGACTACACTGCGATTTGACCGTGCGTTCAGTTTTATTTACTATGGCTTCAACTTCGGTACGTCGCATGTTGTTAATGGAAAACAGCGTAGTTACGTTAAAAATATTTAAGAAACTAAACAAAAGGCGTAATAGAAAACATACCCATGTTATTTACAAAAACAGGGTACTTTACGGCGAGTTCCACCATCTGTATTTGCAGTTGCGTGAGGATGAAACAGCGTTTTATCAATACACTAGGATGGAAATCAACACGTTCGATTACATAGTAAAAAAGATACGTAATGCCTGTTATCATTGCACAACAAACTTCCAGATTCCTATCTCAGTTGAAGAAAGAGTTGTGGTAACTTTACGGTAAGTAAATAAAAAAAACGTATGTTACTAAAAAGTACTTTATTGAGCGAAACATAGTTGTAACCTCTGATTGGCTGGTGTCCTGTAGATAAGAGGTGGTAAAAGCCGCAGGAGGAGGATTACTTGCACTTCCGGAAGATGATGCTGGATTGATGGCGTGAACAGAGAAAAGAGGGGATGTCGGCGAAGATATGTCTGAATAATATGTAGATCAACTAGAAGGAATAGTTGAATAGAGTGTGTTATTTGAGGGACAACGGAAATCTGCGGTGCTATTTTGGAGTTCTTGTATTAGAATATCTTGGAACTTGCTGCGAACTTTTAATTGTTGTAACGGATTTAGTTTTTTTAAATAGGGGAGTAAGGAACGTAAAAATAAGGAATTTTCATCCTCCTCCTGTTCAAGAAGAGCGAGCTTTTTGTTTTCAATCTCCAGCAACTTCACTTCTATATCATTGGCATTACGTGGCCTTTTGGTCTTTCGATGAGATCAAATTTTATTAGAAACAGAGCTCTGTGTTGCTGAACAGTTAGTTCTAGCCACTGCTGTTGCTTCTACCACGTCCGCTTGTATCTCCACGTCCGCTTGTGTCTGAGCACTATCAGACTGTAGCTCAATCTTATCGGCATCAGATTCATATTCATTTTGTTGAATTGTGACCTGCGAGTCTTGCACGTCATTTATATGGGGCACATTTCCCTCAGTTTGTCTGGGAATAACAGTGTCTTTTAAAAACAATAGATTTTTGAAGTATTGCCATCTTCCCGAGTATACTGCAGCATCTTCTTGTGAGGCACCAGATTTCTTTTAGGGATTTTTTTAAATTCTTTTAGGAACTGATCGCGTAAATTGCGCCATTTCTTTTTGGCTTCGTCCTCTGAAAAGAGAATTATATTTTCTTTCAAAATCAATAAATAACACACATTCATCGTTAGATTATGCTAGACTCGGAAGATTGGCATGATTATTTTGACGTTAGCGTCCTCGGTTTTTTCTTCTCACTGTCACTTTCATGACATGGAATGTATTATATTTTTTTTGTTCTAGGTATTTAGCAACGGGAATTTCATTTCGGCAACTGGCATTCACATTCCGTATATCGAAATCATCAGTTGCATGCATACGTAGTCGTGCCATAAGTTCTGTCCCATGATAATCTCATGATAAAAATGAAACAAGATAAGATATATTTATATGAAAGATATTATTTATTCGACAACATTTTTAGAATTCACAATCAAACAGTTTTATTCAAAATGTCCCCCCTTGGCCTTCACACACTGCTTCAATCTCGCGGGCCACTCATCTATCACTGCACGCACAGCTTCCAAAGGAATAGCTGCCGCTGATC